CAGTACAACTGTAACTTAATTTTAGGATAATTTTATTAAAAAAATTTCTATGTGTATTATTTTTAGGAAAACGTTTTTCAATTAAAGCAAGAAATTTATGTCCTATGGTTGATTGGTGGGGGTGTACCAAATGATTTTTCTATTTCTATTTCTTCTCTGATTATTTTAAATTATTATTTTAATATAATTGATGTCAGGGAATTTATATCCACTACTCTTTAAAGCTTTATTATAAAAATTAGTGTGTTCATAGAATATTTCTTCATTAGCAGAATTTATTCTTTTTTCAGTAGATGAAGGTATATCCTTTATTATAAATGGGGGGTGATTTGAATTCGGGTGTATATATAAAGGATTAGTATTAGGTTTTTATAAGGTTGGTATATATCATTCATAATGTCTAATGTTATATAGAGGAAGTTTACATTTTTTTAATTTTGTATTAACAATAACTTTCAAATTTAGGCATTTACATTCTCTGTGTATTAGCTTTCTAATCTAATCAATTTTAAAGTTTGTAGACTTCCTCACAACAATAAGGTCATCATCCCTATACAGTCCAATGTCTTTAATATTAATTTCATGGTTTGAACTTAGATTATATAAAATAAATAGACCAACAAGGTCAGAAGACTTAGCAGAGTCCAACAATCCCATTGTGATACCAAAATGGTCTTCAGAGTTTTTTTATCCATTGTTCTCTATTATGAATGAGGACAGTTTTTTTTTGCATTCATAATTATGTTGCTATCGACCTTAGATTGATTAAAGTATAGAGTAGCAAATACCAGGGCAACCGCGAAAAGTTCCCTTGATATTGAGGCCGAACTGTATTAGGCTACAGTTTGATTTATCCTTAATATTTGAAAACCAAATGGTGAATTCTTTGGTATTAATCCATTATGTTAATCCCAGGTAATCTTTTACTTATTTGTTAGCTCTTTCCAGGATGTTTTTACTAATTTTACCGATCTCAGGCCGGGTTGGATTTATAATTCTGGTAGTAAGATTAGCCTCAAAATCGAGGTTGTGGTAATGTAACAATCTTTTTTTGGTAGGTTTATCTACTATATCACTTATTTTTAATTTATCTGTGATTTTCTTACTAGTTACATTTATACTTTCTTTATTAACATTATTATTAACTTATTTATAATTCTTTGTTACATTTTTTAACTAGACTGTTATAGCAATTTGCTGCTAATATGTAAAAATTTCCAATTTTATCAAACTTCACTAATATATATATATATATGACAACTTAACATAGGAGGCCGCATATGGAGCAAGAGTGAGGATGGTGGAATGAGATCACTGTCAGATTGGCTGACCTTTTAGATCTTGCTCTCGCTTCTTGAGGACGATTCAGACTAGCAGACTGAAAACTGCTGAATCCACTAAAACACGTTGATCAGCATTCTACCCGCTCCAAGGCTAAGCGCTCAAGGGTGTTATGGGGTATATTGACAGCTGACAAATTGTTCTTCAGCTTGTCTTTGTATCTTAGCCATGGGCGTCCTACATTCCTGTAGCCCTGATCTAACTGGCTGTACATTAGGATCTTGGGTATCCTGTCATCAGACATTCTCAAGACATGACCAGTCCACCGTAACTGAGACTGTATGAGAAAAGGCTTGATTCCTCCAATATTACACCTGTTAAACGGGTCTACGTTATATGTCCTATTTTTGAAGGACAACTCCACAGATGGCACGCAGACAACTTTATGGAAAACATCCAGTTGCCGTATATATATATATATATATATATATATATATATATATATATATATATATATATATATATATATATTGGATTGAGGAATCGCAGAGCTGAGTTCGATTTCCAGTCGAATCCATTACATTCACTTACGTGCTAATACCCATGGGAAAGGTATGAATCCTCTTCTTCTCCCTCCAGCTATGGGTAAAATAGCAGGACAGACTGGGTTCTATAGCCTTGGATGGCAACTGGTCTAGGAGAAGGACAACTCTCAATTCAATAGCTGCGAAGGGTCGTTTGGGGTAGTGCACCAAGTTTTTGTATTCGGCCCTTCAAAAAGTGTGGATGGTTCTGCACGAAACCTTCACCACTATAATCAAATCTCATGTGTCGTTGTCGGGCTGTTGGTTTCCTGGAAACTGATCTGCTTGACTTTCATACGTCGAAGTCGACGGAAGAGTCGATATATATATATATATATATATATATATATATATATATATATGTATGTGTGTGTGTGTATACATACACACACACACACACACACACATATATATATATATATATTCATACTGGATAAGTAGACAGTTAAACTTGATAGATACGCTGTTATGTATCTCGCGTGTGCGGTAATTTACTGAGTTTACCTAATCCTATAATTTTAGGACGTAGGCGATCATGGATCTCCACAGCTTTATTCTCTTTAATATCTGTGAATCATCATGAGTTAATTTGAAGAAAGATTAAAGAATGGTTTTCCATTAAATATATTATTTTAAATTTTTTTATTCTACAACGTAGTTCTCCTATACTGCTTGCCAATCAAGGCTAGATAGATCATCATCATCATCATCAGTCCCATGAAAGAGTGTGGTCGTAAGATTGTTGCGCCGCTGAGCATCTAACCAGTTCCCTGTACATATCTGGGCTGAAAGGCGGAGTGGTATTCATTCATGCGTAGTGTGTCTAAGGCAGGTTGACCTGGCGGATGCCATCTCTCTACAAGTGAACATCCTCAAACCTGAAGGCGCCTTGATAGATGACAATTGAGCCTAGAAGTTTGTTTATTCGCCCTTTCACAGGGCTTCTTTTTAATTTTGATGTGTGTCTAGCCACCATCCTCACCAGAAAAGCCTGGTGGGGGTACCTGTTTAATCACCGATGACCCGATAGGTAGTAATGGTACCAGATTCACTTGTAGAGTAACTTGAAATAAGAGCCCGATTCACAGTTATTTTAATCGGTGGGAGAAAAACGGATTCATGCCTTTCCCAAGGAAAATACGAAAGTGAAGGCAAGAGTCTAGACGGAGATTTGAACACGGCTCTCTGATTTTATATTCCGTGTCGGTTACTGTTACGATACCCACGCATCCTCCAATCTTATTATTTTAATGTAGACGTTTGTATTATTTCCCGTAAACAGGTGACATTTAGATTGAAAGAAATTTTTCAATGTAAAAAGAACTTCGTAACGCTAGACAAAAAAAAAAAAAAATTAACTAAAGTTGTCGAATAATGTAGGAAAGAAAAAAGAAAGAAAAATTCAGAATCGAAAATCAAAATGGTCCATGAGGATTAGCTGTCTTGTGTATGTGGCAGGGGTAAACATCCGATGTTAGCGTTTTTTGGATTTTTTTTTCGATTGAGTATTTATATAGACTCGGGTAAAAGAAAAAAAAAAGTTTTCTGAACTGACGAAGATGAAGATGAAGTTGATACTTTTCCGACAACTGAAAATATTCCAGTGATGATAAGGATCACATACGTACAGAAAAAGAGACCAAATAAATGTCTGGATGTGAAAGTGAAAGTGAAAGTAGATTAAAAAATGTTTACTTTTGAATGATTTATTTTTTCTATGCGGAGAATTGAAAAGGTAAAGGAATGTTCCTCTTATCAAAAGAAACATGATAAGAACTGGAGGTAAAGATCCATTAGGGCAAAAAGAAAGAAAGAAAGAAAGAAAGGATAAAAAGTAAATAAGAAAAAGAAAGAGAGAAAATAAGAAATAGAAAGAAAGTAAGAAACACAATAGGGACTGGAAGTAAAGGTCCAATAGGGCAAAAGAAAGAAAGAAAGAAAGAAAGGAAGAAAGAAATAGAAAGAAAGAAAGAAACACAAGAGGGGCAGGATTTAAAGGTCCAATAGGGCAAAAGAAAGAAAGAAAGAAAGAAAGAAAGAAAGAAAGAAAGAAAAGAAAGAAATAGAAAGAAATAGAAAGAAAGCAAGAAACACAATAGGGACAGGAAGTAAAGGTCCAATTGGGCAAAAGAAAGAAAGAGAGAAAAAAAGAAAGAAAGTAAAAGAAAGAAAGTAAAAGAAAGAAAGAAGAAATAGAAATATTGAAAAGTGAAATGAACAGAAAAAAACGAAATAAATACAAAAAAAAAAGAAATAGGAAGAACTAAAGAAGGAAGAGAAAGAAAGAAAAATAATGAAAAAAGAAAGAAAAAAGAAAGAAAAAGAAAGAGAAAATATAAATGAATTGAGAAGAAAAAATAGAAAAATTCAGGAAAGAAAGAAAGAAAAAAAGTAGTAAAAATATCAAATGAATGGAATCTAAGTAAAAGAAATGATTAAAACAAAAAGAGTAAAAAATAAGTTAGTTAAAAAAAGAAGATTGAGAAAAGAATAAAACAAACTAAAAGAAATGAATTATATAGATATAAATTAAAGTAGTAGAGTGATTTCTTTTTTATGGTTTATCAACCTTTTACAGATTATTTAAAGCCAGAAAATATTTTTAGACTCTAAGAATTTTTTGAAGATAATGATTTTAATGATACAAATTATCCCATAGTTGTCGAGAGAGAAGAGATGCATTCATACCTTTCCCAATGGTATTTACGCTTGGAATTGAAATTTTAGATAATTGTTGTTTTCACGGCTTATCAACCTTTTGTAAATATTTAAAGCCAGAAAATATTTTTAGATTCTAAAGATTATTGTTGGGGGAGGGGTAGATAATAATGGTTTAGTAATACATTACTAATTAACCCATAGCTTGGGGAGAAGCGCTGCATTCATACTTTTCCGAAGGGTATTTACGCGTAAGTGAATATAAAAAACCCGACTGGAATTGAAACGTTTACATAAAAATTTGTGGGTTTTTTTCTTTAGATAACAACGGTTTATTGATACAATTCTTACTAATTAACCCATAGATGGGGGACTCTATGGATTCATATCTTTTTCGAGTGTATTCGAGTGAATATAACTCGGCACTTCGATTTCAGATTCCGAGTCGTTATCTATTACACCAACCACACATCCACGCTGACAGCACCCGTCATTCCCAAGCGGTCATCCATTTTAGGATCAGGCCAGGCTCAACGTTGCTTAACTTCAATGATCGTACGAGAACCGGTTGTTCAACGTAACATGGCCGCAAGTTTTAAGGTGGTGAAGAAGTAGCAAAAGTGGGAGTGAGAGATAAGAATGAATTACTTGCATTATTTACATTTTTCGGACTGTTATCCTCATCTTCATTGCCATATTCACAACGTTTCAGCCGCTGTACGCTCCGACCTTCTTCAGGTGATGTGAATTTCGAAGCGAACCCTATATTTCGTCTACCGGGGTTAGATTGTTCCTGTTCCACGTGCCATAACTCTTCTGGGTGTCTCAGTTATTTCCCTTTAACTCAACTCTTTTTGGTTCACCACTGCTGTGGTCTGGTATTGTGATTTTCGAAGCGTGGCTTAGATGTGGCACAAGGCCGAAAGTAGGGGGTACCCAGTGAGGATCGAACTTACTACTCAGTTGTAAGTGTTCTAGCGAGAGAATCCTTCTAACCATTACAGCGCCTCGAGTTGCCCTTGCGGTCTGGTATTGAACTCACAACTCTTTGGGTCTAGTCACTGGATCTAACCAACGTCTTTACCCACTGGGCTGTGTGTTCTTGAGGAAGTAATCATAATACCTCATCTCAGAGATATAGACAGATATTGAAGAAAGAATTTAACAGTGAGAAATGAAGAAGGACATAAGAGAAAAGGAAAAAAAGTTAAGTGTTAGGAAGAAATGTTGAGAAATAATGGAAATCGAATACAGAAAGCCAAGAGTATGATAAATAGGACTTCGCAAAGACTAGAGGAATGTCAATTTGAGATAGAAAAGATGAAAGGAAGAAAAAACGGCCAAAAGAAAATATGTGTTAAAATAACAAATTATAAATGGACGTAAAAAGAACTTTGGCACAGGGAGATGAATTTTAAGAGAGGGAGTAAAAAATGGAAATAAGAACTTTTAAAAAATAAAAATAAGAAACCAAACAGGATTTGAGTACATTTGTATGTAGAGACGTAATAGCAATATAAATGAAAAGGTTTGAAAAGATATGCTAATTAGAGAGAAAGGTGGCCATCAAAATGGCGGAATTTGAAGCGAATCAAGAGCTCTCTATGACGATGCACACTTATCTTAAGGAAACAAGAGAAAGAACGACACGAAAAGAGAATTCTTGTCATACAATTTTATCTATTTGTTCCTATAGTTTTGTTTTTAACTTGTTTTGTTTTTTTTTTGTTTTTTTGTGTGTGTGTGTGTGTGTGTGTGTGTGTGTGTGAAAAAAAAGGTAAAGGGTTTTCGAAAAAAGGTATCATTTAAATAAAGGCTTATCTAATGACCAGAAGAAGGCGTTAATAAAAAAATAAGTAAAAATAAAAGAAAAGTAGAAGGAGGCTGGGGGGCAACCAAAAATGTGTATTAGAAGAAGAAGAAGAAGAAGAAAGAGGGAGAGAAGGAGAAGGTGTACAGGATGATTGCAAGAAAAATATGGAGTAGTAGATGTCGTAGTAGTAGTAGTAGTGGAAGAAAGGGGAGGAGATGGGGTACCAGAAGAACAACTAGATGGAGGAGGAGGAGAAGAAGAGGGAATACAAAAAGAAGAAAAACAGCGAAATGAATAACGAATTTATAAAGGAATTGTAGTAGAAATTGAAGTTTAAGAGAAAAACAAAAGAAGGAAAGAAATAGAAAAAGAAAAGAAGGAAAGAAATAGAAAAAGAAAAGAAGGAAAGAAAGAAAAACAAAAGAAAGAGAAGAACAAAAATAACAAAGAAAGAGAAAGCAAAAGAACGAAAAAGCAAAAGAAGGAAAGAAATAGAAAAGCGAAACAATGAAAGAAATAGAAATGCAAAAAAGGAAAGAAAGAGAAAAATAAAAGAAGGGAAGAAAGAGAAAAATAAAAGAAAGAGAAAAACAAAAGAAAGAAAGAAAGAAAGAAAGAGAAAAATAAAAGAAGGAAAGAAAGAGAAAAATAAAAGAAGGAAAGAAAGAGAAAAATAAAAGAAGGAAAGAAAGAGGTAACAAAAGAAAAAAAGAAAAGAAAAAAGAAAAGAAAGAGAAAAATGAAGAGGGAAAGATTTTAGAAAATTGAAAGAAAAGAAAACTCTTTTATTCTCTGCCATGTTAGTGTAATGGTGGGAGGGTAAGATATTTTTTCGGTTTTGAATATTAGGGATTCTTTCGCCTAGATTTTTTTCTATTTTTTTTTCTTTTTTTCTCATGTGCTGGTGTCGACGCTATTCTCATTTTTAATTTTCGATTCTCTTGTTATTTGTTTCGCCTTTAATTTTACCACAACGATTATATATTTTCTTTAATTGTTTTTTTCACTGCATACGTTTTCAAATTCTTTCGCAAATTGCATTCCATTTTCTTTGAATTATTATTTAGGATTTTAATTACTGTAATTTTCCGCCTACTACTCTTTCTTCTTTTTCTATTTCCTCGTCATTTCTTTCATCCCCTCCACTATTTCTTTCCCTAATTATTTCTTTCATTTCTCCTTCAGTGCGGATTCTTCATTTAATTATTTACCTTCTTTTTCTTTTTTTTATTTCCTTCTTTCTATTTTTATCTACTTTTTCATTCATTGATTTCTTCATTAATGCTTTTCCTTATGGTCCTCATCTCGACTCGTTTTTTTCTTCTTTCATATGCTCCTAATTCTCCCGTTCTTTTCTTTCTTCTTCTTCCTTTTTTTCTTCTTCTTCCTTTTTTTCTTCTTCTTCCTCTTTTTTTCTTCTTCTTCCTCTTTTTTCTAAATTTTTTTTACTCTTTTTTCTTCTCCCTTGATGTTTCTTTCGTCTCCCACTCCTCGTTTCGTTTGCTTTTCCTTAATGTGCTTCAAGTTCTCTTCTTCTTCTTCTTCTTCTTCTTCTTCTTTCTTCTTCTTCTTCTTCTTCTTTAAAGTTTTTTTCTTATCCTACTCTTCTCTTCTCTTCTCTTTTTCTTTAATATGCTCCAAGTTCTCTTGTTATTTTTCTTCTTCTTTTTCTTTTTCCTCTTTTTCTTCTTCTTTCTCTTTATCTTCTTCCCTTTAATGTTTCCCCTATCCTATTCCTCTCGTCTCTTTGTCTTTCAGTGATCTAAGTTCTCTTCTTCTTCTTCTTCTTCTTCTTCTTCTTCTTCTTCTTCTTCTTCTTCTACTTCATTTTCTTCTTTTTCTACTTCATTTTCTTCTTCTTCTTCGTCTTCTTCTACTACTACTACTACTACTATTACTACTACTTCATTTTCTTCTTCATCTTCTACTTCACTTTCTTCTTCTTCTACTTCATTTTCTTCTTCTTCCTCCTCTTCTTTTACTACTACTACTACTTCACTTTCTTCTTCTTCTACTTCATTTTCTTCTTCTTCATTTTCTTCTTCTTGTTCTTGTTCTTCTTCTTCTTCATTTTCTCCTTCTTTCAACAAACTTATTTTTAATTTTTTTAAGTATTGAAAATTCTTGATATTATTCTTAATTTTCATTCTTTTCTATTTTCCATATTATCAGATTTTTCTTTCTTTCTTTCTTCCTTCCTTTTTTTTCAATTTCTTTTTTATTTCTCTTTTTTTCTATCTTCCTTTTCTCTTCGATTTTTTTCTTTCTTTATTTGTATTCCTTTCTATTTTTCCCTACACCCTGTTTGGATTCCTCTCCAAATGCTAATCTCCTTCATCTATCTTTTCTTTCCTTTTTCATTTTCTTTTCTTCATCTTCACTGATTCGCTTAATTAATACATTTTTTCTGTTTTTACTCATCAACTTTCATTCGCATCTGTATTTTCTTTCATATTTTTTCGAATTCTCAGTTTTTCTTCAAACACCTTTCCATTTCTTTCTTTCTTGTTGCTTCTCTTAACTTTTCTTCTTTTAGTTTCTTTCTTTTCCTTCTCTTTCTTTGCCGTTTAAGTCTTTTTTTCCTGCCTTTCGCCTTTAACTTTTTTTTTTTTTTCCTTTTATATTTCTATTTAATTTCTCTCCATTTTTTTCTTTATATTTCTCCTTTCAAGTCTTTCTTTTTCTCTCTTTCACTTTAATTATTATTTTTATCCTGTTTTTTATTATTATTATTTTCCTTCCTCTTGCTCCTTCTTGTTTTCACGTTGTTTTATTTATTTTCGTATTTCTTTCCTTTTCTTTTTTTCGCATTTTAACAATTTTAAATTAAAAAATTTCTTTCTTTTTCCGAAACTTTTTTTCTTTCTTTCTAAAAATCCAATTTTGAAAATTAATTCTTTCTTTCTTTTCTTTTCTTTTCTTTTTTTCTTTCTTTCTTTTTTTCTAAACTTTTTTTTCATCGTTTATCAAAGAAAATCGAGGAAATCCTTTCTTTTTTTTTCCTTTCTTTAAGTAATCTTTTTCATCCTTCCTTCCTTCATTTCCTTCCTTCCTTCCTTTCCTTCCATTTTCCTTTTCTTCCTTTTCCTTTCTTTTTCTTTTTTTTCTTTCTTTTCTTTCTTGATTTTCTTTCTTTCTTTCTTTCTTTCTTTTTTCTTATCATTCACTACATCCCTCACCTCGACCACACTGTTTAAACTTATCTTGCTTTTTCATTATTTCTTTAATATTTTTTCATTGCGATTTCCCTCTTCCTTCGCCATCTTTTTTACCTTTCCTTTCAATTATATTTTTGTGATTCTATCTTTCTCTTGTCTCTTCTGTTTCCTTTCGTTTCAACCCTCTCCTATTTTCCCCTCAACTTTCATTTACTCAGCCTTTTGTTCCCTACTCCCAAACTCCTCAAAGACTTATATGCCACCTTCTCGTTTCTTCTTTTTCAACCCTGACCCACCCAAATCACACACTCAGCGCTGAAATTGATAATTTTACACTTCCTTTTCTCTTAACGTGTCCTTCGACGAGCTTCTCCGCACACAATACAGGCTTTACAACCATACTAAAAAAAATTATTTTTATTTTATTACTTCGTCATAGTTTTTTTTTTTTTCCTTTTTATTTATCCTTTTTTATTTTTACATATTTTTCTTCTGCTATCTCCATGGATAGGAAGTCGGTTGAGGTAGGTTGCTGAATCACTTGGTGGTTGATTTGTTGTTCAGTTTTATGCGCATGCGTGCATGTGTTTACGCATGCGCACCTATGTGTATGTCTAAGGTGTAAAAGGAAGCACTGTTCACTGTCAGACATATCTCGAGGTAAGAAACAGGAAAAGAAGTGTAGTTGCATGATGCATGCATGGCTGGCCGCGTAGATAAGATTGGGCTGTCAGAAAAAAAGAAAACCCAAAACCAAAGAAAGAAAAAAAAATTAGATTTCAAGATATACAGGCAGTTTTAATGCTGTTTCGTGAGCATTCGCGCTAATAGGCTAAGGTCTTAAAAATGTAGAACCGGAAAAATTGTCAAGCCCTGACGTGCCGCGAACAAGATGACACAAACACGGGGTTTTCAGGTGTCCTTGTTTTTGTTTTTTATTTATTTGTTTTGTTTTAATTTTTATCGAACAAATCAGAAGAGGACCAATATACCTGACTTGTTATCAACGTTCTTTAATAATGTTTCGTTTTTGCGCGCGTTACGTGAAAACGCTTTTTATCTTCATTCAATTCAGTTGACGCTAAGCAGCCATGTTTGTTTTACACATCACATCGCCAAAGGACTTAATCATTTCATTCCAAGCAAAGCAATAAAGCCACTAAGACGCAAGAGGTTACTGAGTGTAAACGAATATTAACTACCCTAATTTCTTGTGGATTCTTTTTTTTTTTTTTTTTACAGTAAGGTTGACACAGCATAAGTCCCGAGAGCCACTCGAGGTAGGTGGTTACGTTAGGAGGCAGTTTGGGCGGATAGGAGAGGAAGATAATGGTTAACTCTAGATTTGAACCAGTTAAGATTGTAGCGATCGAAGAAACATTCTCCTGGGAGTCGGTTCCACAGGGCAGTGGTTCACGGGAAAAAGCTGTTTGAGTGGAACTTATTTCTCACCGATGGAGTAAAGAGGGAATGCGGGCGGTTTGCTACAATTTTAGTATCATGGCGGGTCCTAGCCGTAAGGGTTCGAATATTAGGAACCAAGGAATGTTGTCGGAGTTAACTCCTCCTTAATTGTCCACTAGGGGGCGCTCTCCCTACACTATAAATACTGTGCGATTTCTTGCCTCGTTCTCTTTTTCATTTCTTCATTTTCAGCGAACACATCTACAATGTAAGCTCTCGCAGAAGATTGCGTCTTCCCATTTATGGGAGACGCCATGAACATTATACACACATACACGTACGCATGAACATTCACCAAAATACAAACTCTTTACGTTCACGCACAAACATAAACTTGGTTGTTTAATACACATACTTGTTTGCATATATATATATATATATATATATATAAGTAATTCATCGAGTCTAGAAGAAACCTCAACAGAATGCAGAAAGCACTGGACGCCCGTTTCGTCCTTTATTTGGGACTCATCAGCACTGCGAATCCACTACTGAGAATTGAAACCCGGAACGCTTCACTGACAGGCAAACATCATACCAACTGTACTAACGTGCCTCGGTGACGAAGAGGTAGCGAACTATACCTTTTCAATTAACTTAGATGATGTAATCTTTTAAATAAATTTCTTACGAACGTTTATATTTTTTTATATCCCTTTTAAGTAAAAATAAAAGAATAAATATTAAATTTATTAGTATTATATTAATTCTCAATTTGAAGTTGATTAATCCAATTTGAATTTGATTATTTCTCATTTTGAAGTTGTTTTCCAATTTGAAGTTGATTGTTCCATTTTGAAGTTGATTAATCCATTTTGAAGTTGATTGATCCAATTTGAAGTTGATTAATCCATTTTGGAGTTGATTAATTTTCTTACTTGAAAATAAGTCCATTTTGAAGTTGATTATTATCATTTTGAAGTTGAAAAGGTATAGACTCCATATTGCGCCGCTCGTTCACATATTCCGTGGTGGAACTAATCCGAGTTTCCCTTACCCATAGGACTGTGCCTCCGAGAGCCACGACTACCATCACCAAGCCGCTCCATCCAGAGCATTAGAGGCCCGTTAGTAGATAAATGTGGTTCTACAGAAGGATGCTGAGGATACCAAGGACCGAACATTTGAGCAACCACGAGGTTTTGGAGAGAATAGAAACAAAGAGGAAATTATACTTAACATCAGGAAGAGGCAGCTGAAATTTCTGGCACAGTTAATGAGGAAGGATAGCTTGGAAAATCTGATACTCACAGGACGGATAAAGGGAAAGTGGTACAGGGGAAAGCAACGCGTCACATAATGGGTTTGAGCAGAACAAGATCTGAGAGAAATAACAAAAAAGACCAAATTTATTAAGAACTACAAGGGACAGGAAGATATGGAGGTCCATGATCGTCTACGTCCTGAAGGGACACGGCACATAAAAAAAGACCAAGATGGCGTGTACGTGAAAATATTTGCTATTGACGGAAGATCAGATTACAAGTGGAAGGAGTTTGTAGACTCTTATTAAGAGCTACAAGGGATAGGAAGATGGGGAGGTCCATGATCG